CTTTATTGCCTGCATATTGTTTGCTTCCTCTGTTGCCTGCTCTTCTACCAGAGCTTCCAGGGATTGCTTCCCCAGTACACAACTTGTGGGAAAGTCCCCCTCTCAGGGTCTCTTTCTGGAGAAATTCAACTTAAGAAAAGATTCATATTCATATCCATTTATTGCAATTAATATAAAAATGGCTTAAGGGTTATAGGTGGCTCTGAGGTAAGTGTGAACTCAAAATGTGGCAAGATTGCGAACAAAGTTAACACAAATTTAGGCAGAAATAGGAGAATAATGATTAAAGAGAGTCAAAGTATATGTGTGGTATTGTGTCCAGTTCTGGATACAATATGTTCTTAAAGCATATTCAAAAATTGGGATATGATCATGGCCTGATTAGGAGATTAGGAAAACAATAACAAAGGTAACAATGGAAAGAAGTGAAGCTATTTGGCTTGAAGAATAAACTGCTAAAGAATGACATAATCACTGTATTCAAGTAGCTGAAGGGAAGTCATGTGCACAGTGGACTAAATTTGTTCAGTGTTTTTCTAAAAGGCAGAACTAAGGAAAAATTAGAGAAAAGCAATATTCAACTCAGGAAAGGAAAGAATTTCTAACAAGTAGAGCTTTCCCTTATCAAATATAAGATTCTAGTCTCTGGAAATACTTAGGTAGAGGTGGAAAAAAGTCACCTAAATCTATCCTGACCCTTAAAATAAACTCTGGTTACATATGTAATCCTCTGAAAAGCTCATTTTTGTCACTAGCATTTTATCTGCAGAATTTCATAGCCTACCACCCTGTTGCCTGCCTTGACGATTTTTCCTTATAGATTCCCTGGTTCCTGTCATGCCTCCATTCTGGATTTGGGCCTGAGTTCTGCTCTCTGACCAGCATTATGGTTTAACAATGTGGTTTTGGATTTCTTCTCCCAGTGTCTAAGGCTCTCTACCTTCTCCTTTGGCACAGCAAGTGCAGGTAGTTGGCCCTGTACCCAGTCCAGCCCATCAGTGGTGGCTTCTTGCTGTCTAGGAAGAGGAACAGAACACAGGAGAATGGAATCCTAAACAGGGTGAAAGTTTATTTTAAATGACTTTTAAGTTTACTTCCAACTCTAAGCCTCTGTCACTATTTTCCTTTTCAGTTTTTGTGATCTTAGTTCTTAAGCTTCATTTCTCTTGTTTATTAACTAATAAGTCTTTCTTCTGAGGCTGCCCTGGGAAAATCAAGCCCAAAATCAAGGTTTCTGGTGTTATTAGTTCAAGTCCCTACCAAAGCTCTTCCTCTCGCTCATGTTTCTCTAACTCCTGGTAATTGGTTTTGTTTGCCTGTGTCTGAAGACAGATACTTCTTTAAGAAAGGAAAGCTGCCCCTGCTTTTCCCATGGGTGATTTATGTTGCCCTCACTTAAACTGATGTCCCACTTCAGTAGTTTATGTCTTACCTGCAGTTCTTCTGCAGAGGACACTGTCTTCCACACCCAACACTGATCTCTGGTTGGGCTCAATGGGCTCTGCAGGAAAGGGGGACCTGCTATCCATGGGCCAGCTCTTTCTGATGCCAAAAGGAGAGCTTGCTTTTCATAATGAAAACGTGTTGTTCCAGCTGGCAGAGTTAGAATTAGTAGGTGGAAATATAGGGCTCTGGACCCCATAAGGATCTTGGAATAAATCTTCAGGGAATTGAGCTGGGAAAACTATATGGTATTATAACATTCATTTTCTATAATACTTTCTCAACAAACCTTTATTGAATATGTGCTTTGCCCTGAACTCAGAAATCAGAAAGAAAAATTGATCCCAAGCACAAAGGAACCACGTCCTTCATTCTTTCCTGGGCTCTGGAGAGGAACATGAATTAAGAGGCTCTATATTGGATGAAAATGAGGATGGAAGCCCTGTTGGGCTACTTACTAGCTGAGAAATTTGAGATGCGTTAGTTCAGTTATCTAAAGTTTCTATATGACAGCAGTAATGGAAAGATTAAATGAGAATGAATTCAAAGAACCTAGCACACAGTGGCTGGAACACAGCAGGTTATAAAAGTGTTTCTTCCCTTCTCTTTGATTCCCTCACAGGGCATTCTCTGTAGAAATCATGGGGCAGTTACTCATACATCATTTATGGCATCTGGACCCTAATCCTTGCCTCTCCAAATGCCTTCCATATGGTCCAAGGAAAGCTTCTGGACTCTCTCAGATGGAGTCCTTTGTGACCTACCATGACATTTGGATATGTCTTTGGACTATGGATGTTCAACATTTTTCTTTTTCTTCTCTATCATTTTTCTTTCCTATTTTTGTTTCTCATTCTCTCTCCTATGACTTTTCCTCTTGAGACACAAACATTTCATAATTTATTATTCCATCTTTTAGGCACATTGAAGAAACCTCTGGTGTCCCAGCCCCTGTTTCTGGTTCTTCAACATGAGACTTCCTGTATGGTGCTTGCTCCTGCCATCAAAACGCATAACGAATCTCATGGTGTGGTCCTTGTACCATCACATTCTCTTTTCGAGTGATACTTGGGAAATGCCTTACTTTGCAGGAATCTCATAGCAGAAAATGTGAATAACAGAGACTCCTTTGTTTGGGAACCAATGAAGTGTCTGTTGAAATGTAGAGGAGTAGAACTTAGGGTGAACAGAAGAGAAGCAGTAAGATTGGAAACGAGGTTCCCCTAAAGTGTGAACCATGGAAAGAAAAGCCTTGCAGGGTGTGAATAAAACAAAGCCGGGACCATTGGATGCCTTTGCCCCCAGAGCTCCACTAGAATGCCAGGAGTTTGTTCAGCCTCACACCCTCATCAAAAAGACGAATGACAATATCTGCCAAGGGCACTGCAAATTTTAATTTTGGAGTTCATTTAAAACTGCTATAACATGAGCTACCACTTCTTCATGGTCGAATTGTATTTCTCACCTACTTGATCTGTAGATCTTGTGTGGCATTCTCCAGCTTTCACCCAGAAGACATGTTCTGAGTCAAATCAAAACCTTGGAATTGTTTCTTCTACTGGTCTATTTCTATTATTATAACTCTCACAGACTACAGAGAAAGAACATACACATTTAATAAATAGAAAATATTTATTATACAGCGTTATCAAGATTATTTGACAAAAGGCAGTAACAAGCCAAAGGAAAACACGTTTACAAGAAACTGAACAACTTGTATCAGCACATACGTTAAGGTGAAGAGTTTCGGCCCTCTTGGTATAGGGTATGTATGTGTACGCCTCCAATTTTGAACAATGATGACATAAGGACTAATACTCTATTTATTCAGGAGACCCCGTAATCACAATAATCATAGGCATTCAGAGTAATAAAGTGATCACAGTTGAATGAACATGTTCACCAAATGTCTTAGACCAACCTAATGTCATCTTATACTTGAATATAAGTTGTTTTCCTTATCTATTCTAATTTTTACAAAATCTGAATGCACAAGCCCTGTGATATTAGAGATGTACATTAGTGGCATTAAGAGTAAAAAATAAACATGATTCACTAATAGAGATCATATGCTTTCCCTCATGAATTTGTCAATTACTAAAAACCCATCTATTAATCACTGGAGCCATTGATTTTCCTCTGTCTGCTTTCTTACAATGAAAACATGGAACTGAAGTCCACATCTCAGTCATGAGATCTTTACAATAAAGGTGTTTTAAAATAATTTTTAAAGGAAATGAAGTTCATTCTTGGTGTGGAACTGACTAAACTTGGCAGTAGAAGTATAAGAAATACAATCCTCCAACATTGGAGTGGATGTTAAATTCTGAACAAATGATGCACTGGGTATTTAAAGATTCTAAGATGATTTTTGGCTGAGAAATCAGCAGCTTCAATATGAAGGAAGCATATTAAAATATGACTGAACATAAGACATAAACAAAGATATTTAAGGGGGGTTGAATTCATTCCACAAATAATAGAAGAAATCAAAACAGCAAGAAAAATCCTTTTATTGGGGGTAAAAAGGGATGGTAAAGATGGAATAAGTGGATTACATGTCAATGGATATTACACAACAGCAAATAACAGAAACAAAAAGTTATGACAGCAAAGACACAGGAATAAAAGTCCATGAACATAAAAATTAAAAGAAGGCAAAATGTGATTGATAAAGATTTTACAAATTATGAGCTGAGTTAGATGTTACTGTATGTTAGACGCTCAAGTAGCTGTGGAAAATCTTTAAAAAAAACCTAATATAACCTGGAATAATCTAAATGCTTTGTTCAATCTTATGTTTTAATAATGTGTGCAAGCTTATAAAATGTACCGTTTATTTTCACTCTCAGTTTTTGTGCACTTTTAATATAACAAATTTTCAAACCATTAATAACATGTCGCCACATCAGAAAATATCTGAAAAATAAGTTCCATCTTAGAAGAAAAATGTCCATCCAAGCCGCATGTGAAAACATTGAGCTATAGTATTCAAACCTTCAAAGAGCTTCTGTAGATATTGATGACGATGTATAAAACATTATTGGAACATAAAAAATAAATCTAGTATATTCAAAAGACAATTTCTAATTGCAGTTAGATTGACTACTAGGTTGACATTTGACATTACATTGCACAAATTTTACGATCGCACATATACAAGGACACAGGAACACATTCACTCGCTAGTTACAAGGACTTCAGTGACAATAGGATAGAATTATTTGTCATTTAAACCAGTAATAGTTGCTATGAGTACACCATTAGATTCAAAGATGGATTTGTTTCTGTAATACGTAAGAGAAATAATGGCACCAAATTGTACATATACGCATCTTAGAAGTTCAACTGGTAGGTATTATTTGCTACAGTAAGTGGAAGGGTAACAATTTTGCCACATGGTTTGTTCTTTAACTGAAGGTCAATGGAAAGCCCGCTTGGCACAAACACAAGTTAATCCACAAAAGGGTTCCCGCCACTCTCGAAATAATCTCTTCTTCTGGCCTTTTCCCCAAATCGCCAATAAGTGAATATGGAACGTGAGAAGCTGATCATGGTTTTTTTTTTTTTTTTTTTTTTTTTTTTTTTTTTTTCCAAAGTCCCATGCTGATGGATTGTCCTATTTCTAGCTCCTTCCTCCTGTAGCACGCCTGATGAAGCACTTTTTGGTGATAATTTTGCTCTTATTCCTGTTTTCCTAAATAAAGGACATCCGCAGAGCAGCAGGGGGTCCGTGCACCTTTCTTCAAGTGCAGTCTCAAAGCTGGCACTGGATGGGTTGCGGTGGATGAAGAGAGACCCCTGTGCAGCTTCGTTCTTGAGTCTCCTGAAGATGAGGAGTCTAGTCAGCCCAGCGGAGAGAAGGGTTTCTGAGCAAAGAGCTGCTATCCCATCATCTCATCATCCATTTGGGATGGGTCTGGCCTGGCCCTTCCCCTCCGCGCACCTGCTCTGTCTGGCTCCACCAACTCACTCCGAATGCCATCAGGTGAACTCATGATCCGACTGGCATGTCCACGTAGGCTGTTCCTTAGCAAGCATGGCCCATTGTTTGTGGGCATATATATATATATATCTATGCACAATTGTGCAAAAGAGGAGATTATGTTTGTGATGTCATTATTTATTGATTTGTGATAAATGTTATATACCATACGGAATTGTGCTTTGTCAGAATTCCCTTTCTTCCCAGAGAAGGCTTTGAGTAATTCAAGAATCCGAATCCTGACCTGGAGCATTTTTTGCTTGGTGTCCTTCCCTCTCTTCCTACTTAAGGCGGCAGCAGCAGCAGCGGTCTCCTCCTCTCCTCCCGGCGAGGTCCCCCACTCCCAGGTTTCTCCCCGCAGCTGTTCGCACATCTCTGGAGGTGTAGGAGCTCTCTGGCTTGTCTTGCTTTTCTATGTGGACCCTTCCCCCCTACAGGGTGGAAGAGCTTTGCTTGTAGTCCCGCAGAATGACGGAGGCGTAGGACACGTTGGGAGGGGTGCAGAGCACCGACTCGGACACGGGGGAGCTGGGCACCGAGCTGCCCGAGGCCACCGAGTCGCGAAAAGGCGACGGAGGCGTCAGCGCAGGCGAATCCTCCGGGGTCAGTTTGCTGGCCGCCTGCAGGTCCTCCTCCTCCTCTTCCAGTTCGTCTTCTTCCGTGTTCCCTTCCCGCTGGTGCTCATACACGTACTCCTGAAGGAGCTTAAACCTCTCGCTGTCGTCGTCGTCGTCCGCGGGCGGGGAGACCAGCTCCTCCTCGAAGGTGCTCAGCTGCAGTGGCAGCATCTGCAGGTGCTGCGGGGGTGGCGGGGGCTGGTACAGGGACCGCAGCCCGTTCCCGGGACCCCCGGGGCCTGCCAGCACCGCGTGAAAATCCGGGATCGCAGTGCTGAAGTTGCTGACCACTCCCTGGAGCTGGTCCATCAGCGATTTCTGCTGTGGAGGGGGCTGCTGCTGCTGCTGGAGAGGAGGGGGCAAGCCCTTGGGGAGGGCTGGGTCAGCCAGGAAGAGGGGAGTCTCCTCTGAGGTCAGATGGGGCGGCAGAGGCGGAGTGGTCGCCGCGCTTGGCATGCGCCTGTGCACCACCATGGAAGGGCTGCCAGGAGGGCTAAAGCGAACCGGCTGGGCATCCTCCTCCTCCTCTACGTTGTAAAGGGTCTTGGTGCTGGTATCTGAAAAGGTAAGGCTCTTGCCAGAGCCTTGGTAACTTTTAGTGAGGGGCTTGATGACGGCTGTTTGGTTGCAGGCCGTCTCATTAGTCTTCACGTGCACAGAGAGGCGCTGCCACATGTGCTGTCCCTTGGACACCTGTCCTCCACCTGGTTCAGACCATGACACAGACTTGCCATTAGAACTATGAATAAAATAGAGATGGATTTATTTGCAGATAGATCATGCACACAGGATAAAATACATATAAAACATATGCAAACCTAGCTCAATGTAATTTAACTGCTGTCTCTGCTGTAGGCCTTTGCTCCAGCACCCCATACCGCCTCTTACAAAAGGAACACCAAGAGCTGTAGTTACCACGGGATGCCACTGGAGCTGCAGCCAGTGATTCCATCCCGAGCCAAGGAAGGAAATATTGACCCTGAGAAAAGTTGTTGAGGAGAAAAGCCAGTTTGTTGTAGAAATAGCTATTTTCATTTAGGTCTAAGATTTCACAAAGCTCTTTTTCTCCTTTGCGCTCTCTCCCTCTCCCTCTCTGTCTCTCTCTCTGACACACACACACACACACACACACACACACACTTTTGAAAAACTCCCAACTGGTGGAGGAAAACTTTTTTAAAAAAAATCTTAGTTACATATGAACAACCAAAATAATGGCTATTGTCCTTGGGACAAATTAAGAACCACATACAAAGCTACTCTCGTTGTGTTGTGGGATTATAAAATAGATCCTCTCAGTTGCCCATTCTCATATGCAAGTATTTTCCATGACCAGGGTGGCGTGATCACACAGGGTACCTATAAGGAACATAAAAAAGCAGATGACAGAAAAACTCGGACTCATGGTCAATTTATGAGCTTCGTAGCTTTTGATTTTTTAAAAAACATTTCAATGCATAATTTCTCACACATACAGTGGATCACAAGTCACATAAAGGCCCGGATTCACAGCAGCTAGTTTGGGATTTTCACACTACGAACATTAGGAACAAGATTATGATTGAGACAAAGCAGCAGTTACTGAGACAAAGACCTCTACTCATTGAGCCTTGGTGAAGAAAAGTCTTAGGATGCCAGCAGTCTCCCAGCCGTATCAACTCTCATCTTCATGGCACCCACAGAAAACCAGACATATAGAATTTCTCCCTGAATAAGAAAATAATGAGATGTACTGTGGCATACACCCCAAATTCTGTCCTATTGTAATAACTCTGATCTTACTTCTGGACTTAGCTTCTTTTCTGTATAACTTTTAGCATATGGTGGTACCTTACCATAGCCTTCTATTAATAACAACGGTGGTAATCCTTAAATCAGGAAATAATTGTTTCTTTTTTTTTTTTTTTAAGAAGTTTGCTTTTTCTCTGTACTCAGTAAAATGACAGAGAAAGTAGCATAATAATAACACATGTGTGACATTAAAAGGAATATGAAAATGAACATTTTTTTTCTTGAAGTGGAGGTGTGAAATAGACTGTATTCTAGTTTTTGTTTGGAAAAAATGTAGGAAATGATTAGTAGTTTAAATAATGGTTTATTTAATCATCTTGAGAATACAAGAACGAATACTTCAAAAATTATATGTGAGCACTATTTATGATGAAGGCAATGCTTTGACATTTCATATTTTATAATCTTGAAACGTAAAGTGAGACAGATAAGTACACATGAGTGTAAAAGTCTGATATTGATTATAGAAAATTTTGGATATAAAGGCTCTAAAATAGATAAAACAGTTAAAAGTGTTGACCTCATTATTTGGGAAATAGGTGGTTCCTCCATATATCTGATAACCTACACTGCATTTTTAATTTTCTAGGAAAAAAAAGACCATCTCTATTATATCAAAGTTAATATTTCTTTCAAATATATGCTTTACACTTTATCTGAGACTGTATAAGTACTTGTAAAGTTTTAAAAAATTATCTCATTGACTTCCACACTATGTTGTTGGAATAGCTGACTCTTTTCTGAAGTGAACAAACTAAAGAACAGGCCAGTGGCATTCCTGGCAAGAACAGGTAGTCAACCAGCCAGCCAGAATCACTGCCAGAATCCGCAGTTGTTGTTCTGAGCTTAAAACTCTAGGTAAGCTCATCCCTTACTTAATATTTCTCAACAACCCCCTCATCTACCACTATACACACTTTGTTTCTCTTTATGCATTCAATATGCCTCTTCTAGAAAGGCAAATATAAAACTTATTTGCCCTCCTTAAGAATGCCTTACTACATACAACATCCAACTCAGTGATTTGCATCATTTTAAATTGCAATGAAAAAAATGAAACCATCATTCTCTGCAAACTATCGCAAGAACAGAAAACCAAACACCTCATGTTCTCACTCATAGGTGGGAACTGACAATGAGATCACTTGGACTCGGGAAGGGGAACATCACACACCCGGGCCAATTATGGGGAGGGGGTATGGGGGAGGGATTGCATTGGGAGTTATACCTGATGTAAATGATGAGTTGATGGGTGCTGATGAACTGATGGGTGCGGCACACCAACATGGCACAGGTATACATATGTAACAAACCTGCGCGTTGTGCACATGTACCCTAGAACTTAAAGTATAATAATAATAAAAAAAAAAAAATTTAAAAAAAAAAGAAAAAAGAAAAAAATGTTTCCTTCCCCACCTTCCCACTTCTTAATAGGCGTTAGGAAATGCCTTCTTAATGTTTACCAGAAAAATGCTTAAACAAAATGTTATCCTGTATCTATTTGGTTGTGTGTATGTGTGTTAAAAAAATAAAAATAAAATAATAAAAATAAAAACAACAACAACAAAAAAACAGGTCCCTTGAGAACTAGTCTGCCTCTAATTCAACCAGCAGGCTTAGCTGTCCCTTAGTTTCCACACATAATAGCAAAAAGGTAGCTTGTTTCCTGGAAAGCCCTAAGGTGATCCCACTCATTCACATGGGCTGTTTTCCTCATTGTCCACAGGTTCTATGCGGGCCTCTTTTTAAATCAAAAGCACCGATAAGTTAACAGTATTATTAATCATGTTGCAGACAGATATAATCATAATTTAGTTCTGTTTTAATTAAATCCAATTTTTATTGTTGAGATGGGACATTTTCACTATGGCCTTCAAAACTGGTGACTGTCATTCCCCTCAGTCTTGCTCTAGATTTGCTGTAAAGTACTATTTAATTAGGAAACAGATCTCACGCCTCAGGGCATTTATCAGATTAACAAAATTAGCATAATCTTTTTTTCAAGGACAAAACAAATTGCTTTTTAAAAACCAGAGATAGGAGAAGGAATGTATCATCTCACAGATATTGCAGCACTGAGTATAAACTTTGGTCCTTCGGGATGAGTCATTTCTTACCTGTGGTCCATAGATAATCTGAAAGGTCCACATATCTATACCTGCATTAAGCATTGTTTTTAGACTGAATAAATATTATGTATTTGTAGACAATGCACTGCTGTTTTTAAATGTATGTGGATGCTGTTATAATAAAGTGTGCTATTCAATACATGTGTAACTAAATTCTGGGAAGCTTTTATTTTGTTCCATATTCAAATGGCCATGAATAGAGGTACATTTAGTAATAATAGATTCAGGTGAAGGCTTAAGAACTGTTTTGTTGAGAAAAGAGAGTATCTTATTTGAGAAGGCTGGGAACCAACTACTGTGATATTAAGAACAGAAAAATATATAACATCAAATCCCTTTATATCAAAAAAGAGTAAACACATTATAAAAATACAATATTACCCTGCAAAATGATATTTATTTAATCCCAGATAACTTTAATTGTTTCTGCTTATGCCACCAGCTTCCTCCTTCTATTGTTTAATTTTATTTGGCCTCCTAATCTTAGGAAAAGCAATCTGGTTTAGAAAACACCACATAATTGTTACAAAGCACCCGAACCTTTTGCTCAAACTTCAAAAGACAGACCTGAGACCTAAAACAATCTCATATTTGAAGATCAAATGCAGCAGCATTTAGAGTAAATATCTCAGGTGGCTCAATTGGAGGAAAACACTGTTAGGCCTACAGAATGTATAGAATAATGTATAGTTACCGTGTGGACATCTGGGCAGGCCTGAGGCTGCAGTTCCAGCAACAACAGGTTCAGGATCTTGCTTTGGTTTTTCTTTCATTAGATAACTATCTCAATCCCCCAAACAGAAAACCCAATATTTATAGCACTCTTGAGAGTTGAGAGTGGGTGGTGTAAACAGATTAGTGTATCTTTGGCATTCAGTGATCCTGTCTGTTTTATTTGTTTCAGTAAGTACTAGTTACATCAGCAGAGTACACTGTTCTCTGATCCAGAGAGGTTTAAAATGGGAATAACAGTGGGTGGGTGTTTGAGATCATCAGGAGGGAAGCCTCCTGCACAAGCTGCCTGAAGGGGAAGCTTACACAACACCTGTCTTTCTTATGTCCAAATCAAGTCTTTGCCTCTAGGCTTAATAGCTTCACAACAGATATAAGGACAGTATCCAGAAAGCCCACAGATAATGCAAGACCTTCGCATAAGAAAGAGAGGCTCACTCTTTGGAACCTGAGGAGGGTAGTCTTTGTTTTCTCTGAAAGTGAAAATGGAAATAGAAAACACCATCAAGTCCCAGGAAGGAGAGAATTGGTTCATCAAGATAAAATATCAAAAGGCACAGGCTTCGGGGCAGTTCTGCTCTGGCTCCTGCAGCTACAGCTAGAATATGAGGCCTGTCAAGGAAGGGGAGGTTCTGACCCCACCAAAACTTTCCCAAAGGAATGCTGGAAATACAACTGTCCAAATAGTTCAACTTCACATTCATCAGCCCTCTGGTACCCCAGTGAAGCTTCAGAAGTAGGTCTTGTAGAATCTCAGGCCTAAGAACTATTTGACACCAGTTGAATCAGGCTTCTGTTTTCCCAGGCAACCCCAAGTTTATCATCAATACAAAGGACTCCCACTGACTCCAGCTCCACTTCTTGAAAGCCTTCCAGAAAAATCTGCATATTTAGAATGTATTCTCAAACTTGGGGGCCTATCTGAACATAATTACAACTTCTCATCTTTTTGACTCACCACTGGCTGTAAGGTAAAGAATCTCTGAGTGTGCTTTCTAATTATATGAGAACTTGGTAGTTTCTGTTGATATCACATCTTAAATAGTATTGTGAAGCTTAGCCTTTTCCCCTTTAATTCTACCTTCAT